CTGCCTGTTCCTTCGTCAGAGTTGTCCATCGGCACTGAAGACTTCATCGCAGGACCTGTTCTTCATCAGGGTGGTTGGCGCTGGCCTCTGGGAGGCCATTCTGATGTGGCGCTACTAACTGGGTGTAGGATAGAGAGTCGGGTGTGAGTTCTGAGAGTGGCGAGATACTGGAACAAACTCTGTTATGATAATTGTTTGAGTTGGCTCATCATCAGTGTAATTTCATTTGTTATCCTCGCCGGTTCTACTTGTAATTGGTTGTTGGGAGTGTGTCAAAGAGAGAGAAACACTGTGTCTTCTCCCCATCTGTGCATAGTTGTATTCCGCTGCCTACTCTGATCTGTGTGCAGTGTGGACTCTGTCTCCTCTCCCCCTTCTCTTATGCATGTATGGGTGTGTATGAGATTGTCTACGTGTGAGTGGCAGTAAAAATCGTCAGACAACCAAGTTCATAACAGTTGGTATCGGAGCTGGGATTGGAATTGGGACAGTGAGGGTTGAGCGCACTGAGGCATCTTCTTCATCTGACGATCTACTGGTGAGAGTTTCATGGCGATTCATCTTCCCCAGTACTGAGTCAGCAGGGAAGAAGACTTTCAGCGGTGGATTCAGGTGTTCAGTGATAGTACTGAGCAAGTGCACAGAGCCTGTCAGGGCGCTTGTCAGGAAGTGGCGAGTATAGGGCTAATTCACCATAGCCAACCCTGAGGGTAGTACTGCGAATTACCCCAGAGTGGCGAATTACCCCTGAGGACATCATGGAACCCTGAGCCGCATCATCCCTGGGTAGCGCTGTCAGAGATTGACACACTATATCAATCTCCAGTAGAAATAACCCCATCTGGGGCTATTTTTAGCATCAACGGCTACCAGGCACTGTGGCGAGATATTTTGGTGTTGGCTATCTGGGCGCCACAGGACCAGATACAGTGCATCTGAGTTGAGGGAGTGCAACGCTATAGGATTTTGAGGAGGATCAACAAGTTTGGAGCAGTTTTGTGTGTGGGATTGTCAGGAGGAATATCTGGAAGAAATTGGCGAGATCAGGGTTATCATCTGCCATAGCCAGATCTTCATCATCACCTGCAAGATTCTCTGAAAGTGAGTCCGTTCCATGCACCTACCTGCATAGTGATCCAGATAGGAATAGATTAGTGAATTATAATGGTCTATCTGTCTGTCAATGACTGGATGTGAAAATCGCAGACTGCATGACAGCCATAACCATCTCTCCTCTACCTCTCTCTGCTCATTTCTCATCCTCTGTTGACTCTTTCTGATCCAAAATTGTTCTGTGACTGCTTTACTGCATTGCGATTATTCTGGGATGCTCAAATTGTGAATTCTGTATGGGAAAAGTAGTGATACTGTGAATTACAGTTTTGCGTTGAGTCTATTTATAGCCTGTGCTAACTAGGGTCAGTCATAACTTCAATTCTGTCCGTCAGAATTCCATTCTATCAGTCCCCAGTGAATCGCAATCCAAAAATAGACAATACTGCAGAATCGCAGAGTTGGATTTACAGTATTTCACTGGATACAGTGAATATTGTACTTCACCATACCCTAGGGTATGACCGCCAGAGTCATCAGAGTCTAAATTGGAGTCTGAGTCAGGATATAGGGTGTCTGTCTGAATCGCTTGATTTGGTTGACCTCTCTTGTCTGTACTAACCATGTTCTATCATTCCCACTGACTACCCTTGTTTTCTAGTGGGCTCTGGAAATCTAGTGTGTCTCTGGAAGAGTAGTGGAGTGACTCTACTAACTTCAGTGTGGTGCAGGGTCAGTAAAAGAAAATCGTGTGCATGATTTTGCTGGACTTACAGTCTGTCTGACACCTGACCCCAGAGACACCCTTCCAACCCAAACCGCTGATTGCCCATTCGCCCACCTGCTCCATTGTCTGAATTTTGCAGCGATTCCAAGGTGTCTGAAGGAATCTGAATCTCGCTGCATACTCAGGTTGCTGTTCATTTTTTTGGTTTTATTTAAAAAGGAAAAATGTTTGAGCAGGGGGGCCAGCAGCAGCCACAGGTGGAAGTGGTGATGAAGGTGGAGGGCCAGCAACCTTCAACCTCCACTCCTCCTCCTCCACCTCTGACTGCTACTCAGCAGGAGGAGTTACAAGAGCAGCTGCGGCAACAGGCTCGTCTTGCAGAATTGGAACGTTAGGAGGCAGTTGAGCTAGAGGCTGCAACAGATATTTCCAGAAGGGAATATCTGTTGCAGCAGCTAGACAAGGTGCTATCAGATGACCGCTGTGCACAAGTGACTAAACACCTGGCAGAGACGATCATTCTGGAGCACAAGATCACCAATTCTCACTTCACGAACTGGGATGATCGTTTCGATCATTTGGAGCATCGGGTTGACGACCTGGCAGCTCAGCAGTCCAAGATTCTGGATGCGATTCAGAACTTGACTGCTCAGCTGTCAGCCGCCAAGCTGATTGCCCCTCAGCTCCCACTGATCAAGCCCAAACCTTCTCCTCCTTCTACCCCTCCTTCATCTCCCCCTGGATCTGTGCATTCTTCCCGGACACCATCCCATTCCCAAAAAGCCTCAGGCAAACCCACCTATGCTGCTGTTACTGCAGGAGATCACATAGGTCCCAAGAACCCTGCTCCCAACAAGTTCAGGGGCGATGACCCCAAGACCGATGTTGGGGACTGGGCTGCTGGGACCAAAGCCTACTTGAGGGGCTTTGTCTGTGTAGAACAGACCAAGGTGGCGACTGTTCTGGGACTGTTGGAGGGACCTGCATTGAAGTGGGCCACCTCTACCTCCAGCAGTCTGCAACAGTCCATGGAGGACTGGGCTTTTGGGCTTGGGGTGGACAGACTTCTGCAGGCCCTGGAGGACCGATTTGCAGACAAGGAGCGGGCCCGCAAGGCTGCTGACAGGATTGCTCGCCTGGAACAGCAGAGATACAACGGTACCGTGCAGGCCTTGTTTGCTGAGTTCGAGCAGCTGACCTCCACCCCTGGGTTGGTCATGTCAACTGATGATTTGCTGACCAACTTCTGCAAGGCATCGTTTGAGAAGTTTGTTGTTGCTTTGTACAACTCTGGGCACAAGGACTGGAGGTCCTTTGGCCATGCAGCCCTGGACATGGAGGCAAAGCTTCATGTTCAGGCCCCATCCTCTGACAGGAGGAAAGGTGCCTTCCCTAGAGAGGTGGCAGAAAGGGAAAGGCAGCCATTACTCATGCGGGATCTGCATCAGGTTCAGATTCAGATTCCCAGGCTGATGCACCTTCAGCTGGGACTGGACCTGCTGCGGATACAGATGTTGCAGCAGCCCTGACTCAGGCTGTTTTGGGAGTTATGCAGCAGCAGAAGAGGTTTTCCCCCACCACAGCCTCAGCCAGTGCCAAGGGGAAGGAAAAGGGACGTCGGCCTTCCTCTTCCCAGTGCCCTTACCTGCCCAAGGATGTCCGAATGCTAGCTGACCCACTCAATCCCTCCACACTCCCCTGGCATAACCTCAAGATCCAGGAGGGAGTCTGGAGAAGGAGAAAGGAGAGAGGGGTCTGCCTGAGGTGTGAGGGACAACACTTCCTGAAAGACTGCCCTTACAAGCCAGGCCCAGGTCAGTCAAAAAACTGAAACAGACCCTGGGGACTGCAGTTCCCCCCAGTGCTGCACCTTCCTCTACTTAGGTAGGTGAATCTGCAGCTGTTTCAGTTGAGACTGTAGGTGACGATGTTTGTTTGGGGACTGCGCGGGCAGCATCCTTCTGCTATGAGGATCCTGACCCGGATCAGGACCCGGGGCAGGATGAGCTTCAGTCTCTTGCAGCCTTTTTCCTTCATCTGAAGGAACAGAAGAAAAGCAAGTCTGATCTCATCATTCTTCGGCCCCTGATCAACCACGACCAGGATCACTAGGCTATTGGACTATGGAGCCACCAGGAACTTCATGTCTCCCAGTGCAGTTAAAAAGCTGCATCTGGGCATGAAAGTTCAGCAGCTGCAGCAACCGCTGCTGGTGAGGATTGGTGACTCTACAGTACTCAGCATCAGGGAGAAGGTCAAGGGTATCCCTGTGACCTTCGATAGTGCTGGAGAAGTCAAACATAGCCTGAACTTCTACATCTTCCCTGAACTGCCCTTTGACTTGGTCTTCTCTATGCAGTGGCTGAAGGCAGTCAACCCAAGGATCGACAGGCAAATCCCAAAGGTTGAGCTACCTAATAGCCAGGGTGTGTATCAGCCATGTATGATTGTTGTTGATCACCACCCTAAGACATCTTGCTACTGCCTGAGAGTGAGGGAGTTTCATGCTCTCTCACGCCAGTACCACCACGAGCGTCTGTTTATTGCTCTGGTCAAGCAAACAGATGCTCCCCCTGTTTCCTGTCCTCCTAAGATACAACAGGTGGTAGATCAGTATGCTGATCTGATGCAGGAGCCCTTTGGGTTACCCAACCGGCCAACCAAGCATCACATCGAGCTGCTGCCTGGAGCGGTCCCTCCCAAGGGCCGCATCTACAGGATGTCCCCTGCTGAGCCTGAGGAGCTCATAAAGCAGCTTGAGACCCTGACGAGCAAGGGCTGGATCAGACCCAACACTTCTGAATTCGGTGCACCAGTTCTCTTTGTACCCAAAGGGAATGGCGAGTTCAGAATGTGTATTGACTACAGGGATCTCAACAAGATCACTAGGAAGAGTACAGAGCCACTTCCTAGGATCGATGACCTCCTGGACATGGTGCAAGGCTGCACAGTGTTCAGCAAAGTCGACCTCAAATCTGGCTACCACCAGATTGAGATGGCAGAGGAGGATGTCTACAAGTCAGCCTTCAAGACCAGGTACGGGACTTATGAGTTCCTGGTCATGCCATTCGGACTTTGCAATGCCCCAGGCACCTTCCAGACAGAGATGCACCGCATCTTCAGGCCTTACCTGGACAAGTTCATGGTGGTCTACCTGGATGACATCCTGGTATTCAGCCGAACTGCCAGGGAGCATGCGGAGCACTTGGCTCTTGTCCTTCAGTCGTTACGTGATAGCCAGTACAACATCAACAGAGAGAAGTCCTCTTTTGGAGTTCCCTCTGTCATCTACCTGGGTCACGTAATCTCTGGAGATGGCCTGGCTCCTGAAGCAGTCAAGATTGCTGCTATTCAGGAGTGGCTTCAGCCATAGATAGTGAGGGATGTCAGGTCCTTCATGGGTCTAGCCTCGTACTACAGGAAGTTTGTCAGGAACTTTTCTGCAGTGGCTGCACCCCTGACCAATCTAACAAAGAAAGATACTCTCTTTCTTTGGTCCCTTCCCTGTCAGTTGGCTTTCACACGACTCAAGAAGGCCTTGACTCGTGCGCCTATGCTGAAGTTACCTGACCCCACTTTGCCATTTATCCTGACCACTGACGCCAGTCAGTATGGCGTTGGGGCAGTTCTTCAGCAGGATGATGGGAATGGTCTACGGCCTGTGGAGTTTATGAGTAAGAAAATCAAGACTCGAAAGCTCCAGGACTCCACCTATGAGAAAGAGCTATATGCTTTTGTCTATGCCCTGAAACACTGGAAACACTTCCTCCTGGGGAGACACTTCAAGATTTTTTCAGATCACTCCACCTTGCAGTGGATGAAGTCCAGGGAGAGTTGAATGATAAGTTGGCACGGTATATTCAGTTCATTGACATGTTTTACTTTGAACTGAAGCACAAGAAGGGCTGCTACAACAAGGTAGCCGATGCCCTCTCTCGTAGGCCTGACTCTTTTGCACTGATCTCCTCTACTCACTCCTTTGGAGAGGAGACCCGCCAGACCATTGCTCGCCTACTGCCTCAGGACGAGACTTTCGGACCCATTGTTAGGAATCTGCAAGCAGATCCTTACTCTGAACCAGACTATGCTCTGAGTTCAGACCTGCTGTATACTTACAGCAGAGCGGAGGAGCGCTTGTGCATTCCCCAGGACCAGCGGCTCAGGACACTGCTGATGTCAGAGTGTCATGATGCCCGTGGACATTTTGGGTTCCTAAAATCTTATGCAGCCCTGTCGCAGCGCTTCTTCTGGAAGGAGATGCGGAGTGATATGTTGCGCTATGTGGACACCTGTGAGCTCTGCCAAAGGAATAAGGTCCAACGTAGACCTCCTTTGGGACTGCTCAAACCCTTACCTATACTTGATGGCCCTGCCTAATTTGTGGCGATTGACTTCACAGATCTAGGCAAGACCACCCCTCGTGGCATGCGTCAGGTTATGGTCTGCTTGGACAGGTTCTCCAAATACGCAGAGTTCATCCCCTTACCAGAAGTAGCTAGGGCCCCGGCTGTGAGAACAACCTTTTCTGAGAGGTGGGCCACTCACCATGGACCGCCCACTTCTATAGTCAGTGATAGAGACCCCAGATTTTGCAGCGATGAGTGGCAGTCCTATTGTAAGGATTACCTGCACTCACGATTGGACATGATTTCTGGTCATCATCCTGAAGCCAATGGTCAGGCTGAGGTGATGAACCAAGTCTTATTCCAATTGTTGCATCCTGTCATCTCTCCAGATCAGCAGGACTCGGATCTTCACTTGGCTAGGGCACAACTCATGTATAACATGTCTGTCCACTCCTCGACAGGGTTCAGTCCCTATCGGTTACACTGGGGACGCGAACCACGACAGCCTCTCGATGACATCATCGAYAAGGCTAAGCCTGATCTGACACTAGGCACAATAGAGTTCACCAGACGTTATCGTCTAGATGTGGAAAGAGCCCGCGCGAACTTGTTCAAAGCCCAAAAGGCTATGATTGAACAAGCTAATCGCCACAGGCRGCCTTCCCCCATCCGCACTGGTGATCATGTCTGGGTGGCCAGTTCTGAGCTGTCGAGGGAGGAAGATATCTCCCCTAAGTTATTGCCACGCTACCTGGGTCCATGGCAGGTCCTAGATATAGTGGGCACTGATCCCTTCGGTCCGTCGTATGTTATCGACGTCCCGCTGCATCTACGTACCTATCCGGTCTTTCATGCATCTAAGTTGCTGCCTTTCACTCCAGCTGATGCATTCCCAGACCGGCCCCCTCAGTTCGGTCCACCAATCCCTGGCAAGGGATATGATGTGGACATAATTGAGGATGAGTGGGGCACAGGCCCCGATCGGCAGTATCTTGTGAGGTTTGCATTCCAGCCTCCTTCTGAGAACAGATGATTCTACAGAAGGGAACTTCTCAAGACAGCAAAGTCTATTGTGTTGCGATATGAAGCGGCTCAGAAGGGCAACCTTTCGCGCCGTTCACCTCGCCTGCATCCCTAGCTCGGAGGTCCTCGCTCCCGAGGAGGGTAAGCCTGCTGATTCTGACTGCCGAGATTGACTGCGAGGCTGTACACTAACCGGTAGGGTTAGATCCGTAATTTTGTTTGGCTGAGGGCTAACCGAGAGACCTACCTGTGAGGAAATTCGTGAGGGACATATCTGCAATTTGGGAAATTACAGCCCTAACAATAACGAAATTTCCTACTACTACCGTAGCTGCGAATAGCAGGCCCGGGCTACCCCTAGGACAGACAGGCCCTAACTGGCCTATACTGATAGACGGTCCTATAACCTATAGCCGGGTCCGGTAGAGGCCGAGAGGCCGAAACAGAAACGGTACCGGTCGGTCAGTCA